AAATATAATTAATATATAAAATCAAATAACTAATAAAAATATTTATATATAAATTATCATATGTAAAAATAATTAATTTTTACTAAAAAAATATTAAAAAATTAAAAGAAATATAATGTTTTAAAAACTAATTCTAATAAATATCTTAATATTTGGTGCTTTGACCAATTTTTTAAAAACTTTAAATGAGTGCCCTTAGGAATGTAAATTGTGCAATTAATCTGGGGATTGTTAATAGTGTTAAGAAGGTTATTAATTAGATTAAGAAAGTAAATAATGCTTATAAATCACTAGTAGAGTTCTAGATACTGAAAATAACTGTCCTGAAGGATGTGAATGTTCTAATCCTGGAAAATGTCAAAGTTGTAAGGAGGGTTATTATAATAAATACGAAGGTGTTTAAGGTTTTTAAATGATAGAATGTCTTAGCTGTTAAAGTCAATTCACTAATTGTATTAGATGTGATATGAATAATTGCTCTATATGTAATTATGGCTATTAATATTGTGGTTATAATAGAAAATGTATGGAAGTTATCATGGACCCTAAACTATTAACTTGCGCTGAGGGATGTGATAATTGTATTTATACACTAAGTTGTGAAAAATGTTCTGAAGGTTATCATGAAGTAGTTTATTAGTAAGCAGGTGTTTACAGATATGTAAAATGTAAAAAAAGTTGTACTACTATTAATCGTTGTCTAGATTGTGATAAAAATAATATATGCACATCATGTAAGCACCCGTATTATCTTGATAGAGAAAACAATTAATGTAGATGATACTCTGATTCAATTATATAATTATTTTTTAAGTATATTTATAATTAAATATTATGAAATTTTTAATGTAATGATTATTTAACAATTTATTTTTTGTTATTTTATTTTTACAAATTTTAAAATATCTATTAATTTTTAATATTATTAAATAAAAATATTTTTAAATAATACAATTTAATAATATTATTGGATAATTTTTTTTTCTTTTGGTATTTTACAAATAAATAAATAATTTTAATTTTTTATTTTTTTCAAAATTCATTATTAAAATTTTATTTTATATTCTTTAAATAATATAGATTTCGATTTAATCAAAATCAATCATTATATTATAATAAAACTTAATATTATTAAAATAATGTTTCAAATATTTAATTTTTTCTTTAAATTGTATATTTTTACATTTTTTCAAATGCATAATTTTTATTTTTTAAATAAAATACAACTAAAAAACAAGAATGGTTTATAATTATTACTATTTTTAAAGCAAAAATTATTAATTAAAATTTCTTTAAGTTTTATAATTGAAAGCACATTTATCATTTTCTTTTATATCTTAGAACAATTTAAAGTTTTCAAATTATAATGGTTATAAAACAATTGGATATTATTATTAATTTTATATGTTTTACTTTAAATCTTTATTTTATATTTTATTTTTTAAAAAATAAATTATCATATTTATTCTTGTTTTTATTTAATACAAAAATTCAATAATCTTATAAAATAATATTATTTAATAGTATAATCTATTATTTAAAACTTAATAATTGCTAAATTTTTATTATTTAATGATTAAATAAATTATGTTTTTATAATATTTTTATTGTATTTATCGGATTTTTTAATTAATGTTTCTTTAAATTTTTATTTTTTAATTATAAAGCTAATACATTTTTTCTTGATATTCTTAATAAAGTAATTTTTTCTTGTTTTAAATTTTTATTATAATCATCTATTTTAAATATCAATTTTACATTTTTTTATTTGTTAATAAAAATCTTCTTTGATTTTTTTTTTATATTTTTTTTTTCAAATTTTATTAAATTTTTAAATTATATTTTCTTTGCTTATTAAAATTGGTATTTTTGATTATAACATATTAATTCATAGAAATAAGATTATTATTTTAATTAAATTTCTTGATTTTTTTATCAATATTCTTAGTAACATTTAAACCCTATAAATAAATAAATTTTGTATATAAATGTATATTTAAGTTTTTATTAAATGATATATAAAAGTAAATGATTAAATAATTATATTAATTACAAACTTCAAGTTTTATATATGAGTTTTTTCGATATTTTTATAAAAATATATAGTAATTTTTTAATAAACTTAATATTGCTATTTAAAGAAGATCTATAATAATTTTTTAATCAATTATTATATTAATTTATTTCATCATTAGTAATTAAATATAAATAAAATAATAATTTCTTAATTATTATATATTAGAAAGATAGTATTAAATGTTTCTTAATTTTATTAAATTAAAATAATTGACAAATAAATTATCATTTTTTTATTTATTTTTAAAAAATAATAATATTTAGTATTTATTTTTCTATATGTTCTTAAAATAAATTAAGAAAATAAATTAAATATATTACATTATTAATAATTTAAATAAGTCAAAAACTATTACAACGTAAAAATTATTAAATTTTATAATTACTTATTTAATATAATATTTTTTTTTATTTTTTAAATTTTTATTTTCTTTTTATATTTACTTTGCAATTATATTTATATACTGTTATCTAATCAAAAATAAATTAAAATATTATGATTAATTACATTATTATGTTAAAAAATATTTTTTTCATTTAAAAAGCCATTACTTTAATTTAAATTGAAATATTTAGATTATTAATTTTATTAAAAAAAAAAAATTATGTATTAATTTTTATATTTTCTTTTCTTCCCCCCCTAATAAATTAATTATAAGTCAACTTTGGATGATAATTTCCAGATTTTATAATTAAGTTTGCTTTCTATACAAGTATTTTTCAGTTTAATTTAGCTAAGGATTTGCTAATTTACTTATTAATATTTTTCACATCAAAATTTCTGATAACAAAGTCTCATTTATTTTGAAAAACTATCTATTCTCGCGAACATCGTATAAGAATTAAAAGAAAAATATAGTTTATGATGCCGAATATATTTTATTTTTAGGCGATACCCCAAGCCAACAGTATTCAAATCACTACAAACCAGTAAAACACATATAAATAATTACGAAAACCATTCTTAATATGACAAATCCCATTATATTTAGTAATTCAGGTGCTTTATACACGTTTTGATTATCATTATAACAAATATATATAAAAAAATATTTTAAATTTATGTTGAAAAAAAATTAAAAAAACATATATTTATAATATTTTATTATTTCACCTATAAATATTAAGAAATAAAATAAATATTAATTAGACATAATTATTCATATTTAAGAAAATCCTTAAATTTAAATATATTTATTAATATTGGAATACTACTCAAAAAATAGGCATAAAACTCCTATTTTATATAATATTTGGAAAAAATTTCTATTTATCCATAATATAGTATACCCTAAATAATAATAATCTAAGTTATAACGAATTATAATTTAGAAAATCTACACTGAAATGACAAATATTAACAGAAATATATCCTATAAGTTTTGAAAAAATTATAGTTAACAAAAGATTATATATCAAATTGAATATATGTAATCGAGAATATTATAGAGGTAAATTAAAAATATCAAATATATGAATAAAATTTATATTTATTTAATAATTTATTCATATATATATATAAAAATAAAGATTTTAATTAATATATATATATATATGTATTAATATTTAACTTTAGATATGGTTTAGAAGTTTTAATGTCTATTTTTATTCATATTACCTATAATTTTGAAAATATTAAGAGGAAAAATTAAGAATTTCAAATAAAATCTGCTTTTAATTTAAACAAATTAAAATTTTAGATAAAAATATAAAAAACCAATTTAAATAAAAGATAGAAAAATGAAAATTTAAAAAGAAAAATTAAAAATGCAATTAAAAGAATAAAAAAAGTATAAGTCAGAAAAAAACTAAAATAGTCCAAATTTTGGAACTAGAATAAGATGTTTTTGATAAATGAATTAAGACTTTTATAAAAATTAAATCATAGAAATGCTTCTTTATATAAACATTATTATCAATAAAAAAATAGATTATATCAATTAATTGACAAAACAAATCTAAAATAAAAAAATTATATAATAAAAATAAAATACACAACAATTTTTTTGTTTATAAATTATTTTTATTTTAATAAACTATTTTTTAATTATTAAAAATAATTAAAATATACATATTACAAATAAACTATAAAATAATATCTTTTAATAAATATAAAATTAAGTAAAGATACAATTATATTATTAAAATTTTAATAATAAAAAATATGATTACATCATAATATTTAATATGAAATAAAAAAAAGTATTTTATTAAATTATGACTTAATAAAAGAATTGCTGAATTAAACAATAAAAGCAAAAATCAAGAGTTAATATAAAATGAAAAATCAATAATTTAATAAAAATATTAAACTAATTTAAAAATATTAAAGTTTAAATAATTAAAATAAATTTTATAATATCTAGGATAGTATATTAATACTATAATAAAAATAATGAATAAATTATTAAAAAATATGCTTTAAATTTAATAAAAATAAATATGATAAAATAATTTCAAGTTTAAAATTTTAAAGTTAAAAATTTATTAAAAAAATATATAATAAAATAGTCTTTAAAATAAAAATCTAATAATTAAAAATTAATTAAAAAAGAAATATTTATAATAGTTAGAAAATTTATATATATATATATATATATATATTTACTTTTATATGTATTTTTATTTTATTATGTTTGTAATATAAAATTTAAATCTTTAATATATAAATAATTTATATTTCCACTAAATATTTATATTTTTAGAAAAAATATTTTATGGTAATTTTTTTTTTTAACAACAACTTAATTTAATTCTATTTGTTTAGAAATACTATATTTTAATTAATTTTTTTTTATATTACTTTATTATTATTTTTTTCTTTATGTTTTTTAACATTTTATTATTATTTTAATATTCAATATTAACTTGTAAAAAAAAAAATATCCTTTTTAAATTTTAATATAATAATTAAAATATTATCCAAGATTATAAATT